TCACTATGTTAGCCAGGATGGTCTCGATCTCCTGACCTCGTGATCCGCCCATCTCGGCCTCCCAAAGTGCTGGGATTACAGGATTGAGCCACCGCGCCCGGCCTATTGTTGTTAACTATAGTCACTCTCTAGTGCTGTATGAGCACTAGAACTTACTCCTCCTATCTAACCGTACTTTTGCATTCCTTAACCAACCTTCGGCTACCCCTCCCCTACCCTGCCCCAACTCTAGTAACCACTATGAGTTTATTTATTTATTTATTTATTGAGACAGAGTCTTGCTCTGTCGCCCAGGCTGGAGTGCAGTGGCGCGATCTCGGCTCACTGCAAGCTCAAGATTATTTATTTTTATCCGTCTTGTGCCTCAATGGTTTTTGAGGTTCTCTCTCTATATACAAAATACAAAAATATAAAATAACATTAGAAACAATTCAAGTGAGGGCAAAATTGTTTTGTTTTTGATAGAAAAATAATACAGATAGGTAAAACTGATATACAGAAATAAATATTATGAAGCCCTTGTTCTGTGTTTGGAGAAGAATGTAAAATTTGGCTCAGAGTTTCTTAGTGGCCTCAGCAAAGGGAAAAATGTGATCTATTATAAGATTCAGAATGTTTGTCAGATTAAAAAAAAAAAAAAAACAATTCAAGAGAAACATAGTTTGCACTCATACTAAAGCCTGAGAGAAGTTTCTTCCTTGATAAAATCCTTTTAGTAGAGATCACAGTGAATTTCATGTGACTGTGTCTCATATGCCTCAGTGCAAGTCAAAGGCACAAACAACGAATGCAAATCAGAAAAGGCATTTCCAGGATACTGAGCGTGGGAGCAAAACAATGGGCCCACGTACACACTGGACTATGTGGAAATAAGTGAATTGTGCATACTTCAAGAAATCTTCTGCAGATGCTATTCCTTAAAACCATTTGAAAAAATAATTGCTGGGCAGCAGAGAAATAAGGAATTAAATAAAGGGTTCAATGAAGATATTGCTTCCTGAGGCAAAGGCTGCAGATTCTCTCCAGTGTCCATGTTCTCTGCTTTTTTGAGGCCACGGCTAGATTGCATTTCCCAGTAGTTGGGTGTGATTATGTGACTGAAATTGGGCTGGTGGAATACGAACAGGCCTTGCCTGTAAAACCCCCATCTGCCTTTCTCACTCTCTTTTCTTGTCCAACCTCTGAACTCAGAGGACTCTATGGATCTAGAGGAGGGCAGAGCTATGACACGGAAGGACCCTGGGTTACTGAATGACTGTGAAGAGCAGAGTTGCTGATCTACACAGGAGTGTGATGTGAGTGAGAAATAAACTTGTTTGTGCGTTTGTTTGTTTGTTTTGAGAGGGAGTCTCACTCTGTTCCCCAGGCTGGAGTGCAGCGGCACGATCTCACCTCACCACAACCAAGTGATTCTCCTGTCTCAGCCTCCCAAGTAGCTGGGACTACAGGTGCGTGCCACCATGCCTCACTAATTTTTGTATTTTTAGTAGAGATGGGGTTTTACTATGTTGGCCAAGCCGGTCTCGAACTCCTGACCTCGTGATCCACCCGCCTCGACCTCCCAAAGAGCTGGGATTACAGGTGTGAGCCACTGTGCCCCG